CAAACTACTTCTAGCTAGGTGGCAAACATCTCAATTCAATGCAGCCAAATCAGTAAAGCGTGATTAAAAACAAACAAACAAACAAAACTAATGTGTTGTTTAGTTTTTTTTTTTTAATTCACCTAATACTTCATTAATTTTTACCAGATTTTTGGTTTATATTTGTTATACCTTGCATTCTCTCTGCTTTTCCATTCTGGTATTAAAAAATCCTGATTCTTAAAACAACAGCCTTCAGTTCTGGAGAATGTGAAACTACAGCTCAGCAGAACAAAATGCCTCGCCCTGCACTTCCGCAAACACCCCATCTGACAGCTTTAAATGGTCCAGAATCTGGCTTACCAGGAGGTGAAGAGAGTGTTATCACCATGACTGATGGCTATCTTTTCACAGCTTCTATTAGGTCTTCTCTTCTGTATTTAATAGCCACTCAAGTTTAAATTCTCCCAATGGAGAACAGCCCTTTATTTGAAGTCCGAAGTCTCTATTCCATTAAAATCAAGATACAGCTTCTGACCCACCTGTGGGTTTCAAATTAGGGATACTTGCACTGAGTTGACATAAAGTCCCAGGTTGACAAAACGAGCTATGAGCCAGAATCCCAAGATACATGCACGTGCTTAAATAAACCATTAGTCTGCTCCCCCACGGTTCCTGCCATTGGGAAACATGCATATGACAAGTACAGCTTTGTTTGGGTCTTAGTCAATCAAATAAGTGCAAGAATAGCAAAGGAGTTGATGAGTCCCGTTCTCTAGTTCCGTAGTTCACCTCAGTTTCCCCACACTGATCAGCTTACACCTTCTCAGCAAATAAAACAGTTAGAATGCAACCATGGGGGTAACTTGAAATACACGTACTGAGCCAAGATAGCAGAAGAACCGTGCCAAGTGCATCCCCAAGTTCTACACACCATAAGAGATCAGCTTCACCCAACGTTGTACAACACAGGCATCTAAAAAATCTGCAACTCTGAGCCGCTGTAAAACCACAGCAGCATCCCTGGGATTGACAATAAATCCATTTATGGAACACCATTCTTGCTCTCAGATCACAGTTTGATTTTCCAAATTTGTTCTCATTTCCAGAGCTGACAGCACTTTAACATCAACAAGCATACATACAAGGCTGCTCAAATTAGAAACAATTCATGTGAAATTGCTATGCAGAGAGAACAGCAAGTTTCAGCTGCAGGAAAGCTCCATAGATGTGTAAGCATCGTTCAGTGAGAAACAGGGCTTTAAACTTTCACAGTTTCTGAATAGCAATCTCCTGGCATCTCATCTCCAAAGAGCGCTAAGAAAGGTAAATATTAGCTTTTCCTATGCCCCAGTTCTGACCTACTGCTGATTATTCCCCCTCCAAAAGTGACATGTTAAAAACTTACACATTAATATTGTTTGTTTTTTAGTTTAAACACAGGCTTTCGAGCCCAGCTGGAAACTTGTTCACCACCTATATGTCACATGAAGAATCACTTTTCAACACCAATGGCAGGCTCAGAAATCCCAGTTTGAACTGAGAGCTTTAAAGTGTTCCTCATACCTTTGAGCTTATTTGAATGTTTGAATCACAAAACCATCGCTGCATTACTAGGTTAAATACACACTGCACACAAACAGCTACTCACTATTCCCCTTCTCCATCACTTAACAGAAACTGAGTGCATACCTCCTTCGGAAGCCAGTGTATAATTTAACACCATGTTTGTGATTTCAGTTGATTTTCTTAAAATCATATGAAAAGAAGGATGATTGCCCATGTATATTTTCTCCCATGACAGCCAGTGAAAAAACAACTTATCCCTCCAGTAATTGCCACGTGCACAAAAGCAATATGCCACAAAATGTAATGCCTGCTCACAAGCACAAACAGACAACAAAGTCCTATTTCATGCATACACCAGGATCTGTTTGTTCTTCACTGTTACATCCCTTGTCACTGGAATTCCTTCCACACACGCATCTGCTGCCCTTTGTTATAAAATGTGAGGTTGATGGAGCCAAAATAGCACAACAGAATTTTGTTTCTGCAATTTATAGCAAAATAAAAGACAGATGGAACGCAATTACACTTTTTGTCACTTTCTATTCTCCAGCACCTTACATAAATAACCATTAGCATGAGTGTCCACCGAATCTCCGAAGAAAAAGGACTTCTGATTTCATTTACTTCTTGAAGTCACCACAACTTACCAGAACAGAGACCTCCTCTCTGTAAACAAAGTCCCTGCAGCCCCTATGTTCAAAATCCTACACCACTTCTCCGCACTTATCAGCACCAAAAACCACTCCATATGGAAGGCACATTATTTGCTCTTTTACCTTTTTTGCCTCTAAAACCCAGTAGCTTCTGCTTTTCCATGCTTCTTACCCACAAAGAAGTTCTCCACCTGCACAACAGCCACCAGGTCAGACACATCAGTAACCACCAGCATCAGTAACTAACGGCTCGTTACCAAGAAATAGATCTCATAACATGGAGAGATGACTTTCCATAATGTTACCAGCATGACGTCATTGAAATGTAGGTCCTAGCTTGCAGCACTCTTTAAAAAGGTCTTAGAAAATCATTCACAATGTCGTTTCAGAAAAATGCATATAAGATTATTCAAATAAAAACAATATTTATGATTTGATTGATTGTATGCAGCACCCTGGCAGTAGTATCATGGTGGTTTATTTTTATTCCAGATTGGAATTTACTATAAGAAGTTCCATAGCCAGGAAACTAATTCTTGCAACATTGATTTCCATGGCACTGCTTAGAAAGACTCCAGAAGAATAATGCGAATGTCAGGGCATTTTATCTAGCAGCAGCAACATTCTGCAAGCAGTCTGGGCAGAGGATTTGCTCCGGGTTATTTTGAGTACTATCTGCAATATTCTACCAAAATGAGCAGGGCATCCATACAGTGAGATGTGGTGAGATTTTGAATAGTCAGAGTGACACCAAGGAACACTCAGCAGAGTGACACCACACAGTAAGAACAGCCCAGTTACTTGGGTGCCCCATGCATCATTTTGTCAGTGTGCTGTGTAATGGTTTCAAAGGTAGAAAATTAAATCTTACATAAAAATAATAAACCTGACCTGAACCAACAATGCAAGCCCGGAAATTGAGCAAAGGCTTCAGCGTCAGGACCACTACACAGTCCTCCCAAAAGAACATCTCGGTATGCCTTAATGTCTCTCTTAGAGACAGAGGACAATACCTCTTTGGATCACTTCCTTAATTGTCCAGCATGAGATCAGGTCATCCAAGAGCCATTCTAAATGCAATGCACACACAATCCCTGAAAGAGCATCTTGGAAGGAAGAAACGTCTTTATTGACACATGTTCTCACAGCACAAATATTCTGTATTGAATAGACTAAAAATCTGACTGGGGTCCCTTCTGTGGCTTCAACATGGAGTTTCAACAGAGATTGTCTGTTTTGATAGTAGTCTTTTTAAACGCAGTACTAATCTTCAAGATTAGCAAACAGAGCAGTAGCATCAACAACAAAAACTCTTACTAGATCAAGAAGAATGCTCCAGTTGATCACGCTGCCTGCCCTCAACAAAACTGAGCAAAGAGTCTGGCAACAAGAATGTCAGCCCAAATGCAATGTATTCAGAACAGCTGCACGAAGTTTTACTCTAAGAAGAGACGCTGTAGCAAGCAATTGTTCAACTACTGTCACTGCCAGAGAGTTGAACAAGCTCCAGTACAGAACACCGAGCTTCTGCAAAAGATAAGAAGATTCAATTGCTCAGGGTTAACCTGTGCCAATAAATGAACTCTCTGATGTCTGACCACATGCATGGAGTATAGTTTTAAAATCTCCTTCTTTTTCAAAAACAGTTTTATTTTCATGCCTCCTTGCTTTCAGAGCAGTAGAAGGAACCCCATTAATGGGGAAGGTCCCTTGAAAAGGTATACTTTGCTGTTTCTCTTGAATGTGCACATTAACTAGGACCCACACCAGGGAGAAAAGACAGCAGAAGAAATTGTTTAGAGTTCATGAAAATTAACATTTGGTGTAATTTTGTAGCTATAATTTGCATGTACACAAGTTACATAAAAATACATATGGATTAATGCAAATTTTCACACAGAGAAAGATTCACTCTGTGCTCTGCAGAACTAAGGGCAAGGCTGGTGATGAATCATTTTTTTTTAATATTCTAGATTGGGTATATAAATAGCTCTCTGTTTCTAGAATAATTACTACTGGAAAACACAGCTTCTGAAATAATATAGGCCATAATTAACCTCGGCTTCATTAAATCAGAAATAATATATTTTTCAAGTCTTATTTGTAAAGGCAAGCTGATTAATTTAAACGTTTCCCTTTGGAAAAAGAAAAAAAAAAAAAAAAAAACCTAATTGAAATGAATTACCTACGTTACTACTTGTCAGATCTCAACTCTGGAAAGCTTCAGCCGGTGCCTGGCTACCTGACAGACTGCCTGCCCCGCTGCAAGGCGAGGGCTCGCTCCCCTCTCAAGAAGCTCCGCGCTATCCCGCCGCCTGCCCACCTTCGCTCTCCTCGGGTGGCTGCGGAGAGCGACGCTCCGGGACAGGCACTGCCTTCTGCCCCGCCGATCCCCCATCCTCCCGCCCGCTCCGGCCTCTCGGTGCCGGCCGAGCCCCACAGGGCGGGGCTCGTTCTTCTGCCCTGCCCACGCGAGGGCTCCAGTGCGGGCCGCAGCAACGGAGAGTTGGGGCGCCTGCGGACTCGGGAGCGACGTGGAGCCCCCGGCCCTATCAGCTCTGCCGCTGCTGCCCCCCGCCCAGGCTGGGCTGCCCCTGCGCGGCGCTGCGCGGCGCTGCATGGCACGGCACAGCGCCTAGCCGGCGCACCGCACCGTCCCTTCTCTTTCCTTGTAAGACAGCGCCAACCCCCGACCGAAGAAAAGTTTCCAAGCGAGCCGCAGGACCGAGACTCCCTCCCCGCTAACAGGACGGACCCTTCTCTCCCCGCCCGCCTGCGCCGTGCTGCCCCGGGGCTCACCTTCCTGCACAGCATGGAAGGGGTTGTTGGCCTCTATGAGCTTGATAGAGTAAGTGATTTTCTCGCTCTGGAGGATGTCGTCATTGAGGTTCAGATCCGACACCGCCTGCTTGAACACCTCGTCGTCCTTGGCAGCATTGCCCTCAAAAATGGCACCTGCGGGGAACAAGGAAGCAGAGGGCGGTGAGGGCCGTGCCCGCTGCCCGCCCGGAACTCCCCTGGCCGTAGCAGGGCCGTACCGGCTCGCAAGGTGCCAGCGGGGCTGCTCCCACGACACTGCAGGCCCGGGGAGAGTGACCGCTCCCTCGGAGACGGGATGGGAACGGGAGCGATCTGTGCTCACGGCGCACCATTTGCGGCCCTTGGGGCAGCGCTCCGGTCCGGGGCCGAACACCCACACAGACGCGAAGGCTCTGCGGCCGGTCACCTGAACGCTTCCGTTTCACTGTCCTGCTTATGCACTTAACATGAAAACATCTGGCGCCGTGCGTTACGTAAGATGCCCTGTGCCGAGCATGTGTGTGCACGCACCACTCTTAGTGCCCTACTCTAGGAGCGATGGGGATCTGTCGTGCTGGCAACCAAGCTCTCCCTAGGCTCTGAGAAGCTCTGCCCGGTGTGTGCCGGGGCTGCCCCGCACCGCGCAGCTCCGCGCACAGCGCTCTCCTGCTCGCCAAAGCGTTCTCCAGGGAGCGAGAAACGCTGCAAGGGCTGAAGTTTGCGCGAGGAGAAGCAGCGGTGACGCCGCGCCCCCACCAGAGAAGCGGGGCCAGGAAACGGCGCAGCGGGGCTACCTCATTCTCCCGGCTCGGGCACTTCCCCAGGGCTCTAACCCTGCGGGTCGGCCTATAGGAAAGGTACCCGGGGTCCGTCCAGCGCTGAGTAGCGCCCCGGGGCCGAAGCCGCCCTGCCCCCGCTGCGGTCAGGGCTGACCCCGTCTCCTTAATGGCTCCGCAATGCTGTCTGCCTTGGCTACGTCCCCGGGCTCCGGAGGCGCGCGGCGCAGAGCGGAGCCTCCCTCAGCGGCCCGGAGCCGCTGCCGCCGGGCCCCGCTCAGCCCTTCCCTTCTCCTCCCCTCCCCTCTCCGGGCCGGCGGGGGACTTTCCGCCCACAGCCGCGGAGCTCCCCAGCCAGGACTGCTCCTGCCCCCGCCCCCCCTCCTGGTTTTCTTTCTTTCTTTTTTTTTTTTCTTTTTTTTTTTTTCCTTCTCATTTCTTTTTCTCCTTTTATTCCCACCCCTCAACCCCCTTCCCAACCCCCCCCACAAAGGGGCTGGTGGGAAGGACAGCTCTTCATTCCCCGGCCGTACTCCCGTCTCCTCCCCTACCATCTTCTACAAGTGATCCTCTCCGCCTCTAAGCATCCTCATTTCTTTCCTGCTGGTACCTTCCGACACCAGCCAAGAGGTGACTGCAGAGCCTCGCTTGCGCTCGCCAGGCTTCCCGCGGACATCGCCGTGCTCTCTCCCAGAAGCCGCAAAAGTTCACATCAGCCTTTCCTTTGCCTCTAATTCATGCCCCTCTTCCTCCCACCGCCGATCCAGCCTCCTTACTGCCCAGGGGTTTTAATGAGATCTTACTCAAACCACAACAGTTGCGCGCACAGCCACACGCACACGCGCGGAGCCGCCGCAAACCTCGCCTCTCTAACCCTTTCCCAGCCAAGTTCTCTCCTCGCGTTCCGGCTCGGCTGCCACCTGCTACGGCAGGCGACGAAGACCGAGGGATTATCTCCCCGAAAGTTTTCCCTCCGAGCACGTTCAGACGATGACTCTCCGTGCCCGGGTTCCGGGGGCGGCTGTTTGTTTTCGGCGGCGGGCAGGAAGGAGGAAAGCGTTCTCCACGCGAGCGGCTCCGAGCTCGGTTCCCGGCCCCGCGGGAGACCGCGACGGGGCGCCAGGGTGCCCCTGCCTCACAGCCCGACCCCGACGCAGAGCTCGCCCTTAGCCCCCAACTTTGCGTTCCGGGGGTCCGGATGCCTTTCCCCGCACCCCCCTCTTCCGGCTCTCCGCGGAGTTGGGCTCGTTCGCTGCCTGAAAGATCACAGTGGTAGAAAGAGAAGATCCCTTCATTTATTTATCTACCGCGTCCCTCTCCGCCGCCCCCCCCCCCTCCCCACCAACCCCCCGCGTTTCCTCTCTTACCGATGTGGATGATGGAGTCCGCCCGCACCGAAACGCACTGAAATATCCAGGGGAAAAGCCAGAGCATCAACACTTCCATTTCCAGCCTGTCGCACAGCACATCAGCCCGGGGTCGGCGGAGAGGCAGGCGGGGGGAAAGAAGAAAGGCGCAAGGGCAGGTGGAGCAGGCGGCGCGGGAGGGAGGGATGCCTCGACACCCCCCGTAGAAAAATAATCCCCAATTCGCACAGAACGCAGACGATTCTCCGAGGTGGATGGAAGCGGACGACGCGGAGATGAGAAGAAAGACGGGGCCGAAACGGCGCGGCGGTAGATCCCGGCTTGGCAGGCGGCGCGACGGAGCCTCCAGCGCTCGGTGTGCGCCGGGGCGCCGGCAGACCGCGAACTGCGGAGCGGCCCCCCCGCCGCCGCCGCCGCCGCCCGCCCCCCGCGCCACGTGACTGCGGAGCTTCGGCGCTCGGTGCCGCCGGGGCACGGCGCGGCGGGGTGCGGGCGGTGGGCGCCCGGGCGGCGCGGATGGGGACTTGGAGGCTCAGCGACGGAGCGGGAGGGCGCTGCGAAGCGGCGGGGGGGGGGGGGGGAACTGGCCGCTGCGAGGCACGGAGGGATACGCTGGGAATGATGTTACGTATCACACGCGTACGGCTGCCGGGCTGAGAGGGGCCGGGGCTCCGGGCGCACGGAGGAAAGCGGGGGGCGAGGGGATGCCGGCAGGTAAGGGCGCGGGGTGTGGGCCGGGCTGGAAAGCGGAGATTCCCCCCCTCCACCGCGCAGGGAGCAAAGAGGTGGGGAGAAAAGTGGTGCGGCAAAACCGCTGCTCGGTTTGGTTTGTTCTAGCTTTCAATGAAATCTAATTCATAAATCGGACGTGCTCGGACTCAGAAGACTAATTCATCCCCTAAAACAAACGCATCAGTGATTGCAGGCACCCAAACGTGACGAGCGTCTCAATACGCCAAGGATCCAGAGAAAACAAATTCATTCAGGAGCCCGAACCGCAATTAAAACCGCTGCCAAGAAGAGGAGCCGGGAGCAGGATGTTACCAACGCAGTCAAGTTGCTGGGGGGCCGGGGCGATACATACAGAGAACGTCAGCGTTCGGATAACGCGAGGCACGGCCATTCCCGGAGGTCGCCGCCTCGGCAGCGCCAGGCTGCTGCTGCCGGACCTGCCCGGGAGGGAGCGGCGTGGCGGTCGGGACGGCGGGCAACGAGCGGCGGGGCTCAGCGGAGGCGCTCAGCGCAAATGCGCTCCGCCGCCACTCGCGCTGCCGAGCAAACGCAGCCCGCTTCTACTCCGTGCGCCTCGTCCGGACCCGCCGAACGCTCCGGATACTTCGGATCTGTCGCTCGCCCGAGGGAGTGCTGCAGCGTGTTTATCTAATAGAGAAAGCACAGTACGGCAAAACGCTTAGCGCTGAGGAGCGGCAAACACAGACAGGGTTTACGGTGACTGAGGAGGCAGGCGGGGAGGGAGCGTCTGGATGGAGCTGGAAGGAGCCCTGTTGCTCCGCACGGGCGAGAGGAGGAGGGGGGAAAGCGGCGGGCCGATAAAAGGCGAAACGCTTTTCGCAAATAAATCACTCGGGTAACAGCTCTTACTTACAGTCCCTGCCCTAAATATGCGATTTCACACTGGTCGATGCAGAATGATTAAATACCATTCGCCATATTTCACGTAATAAAAACGCTTAATCCTGATAATTGGCTTCTAGGACAAAGATCAATAGAAATGTTCCTTATTTGACTACGTTAGAGAGCCAAAATTAATTCTGATCTACATTTGCTTCAAATCAATACGCACTTAGTGACTTACATGGGCTCTTCAAAAAGTTAAACACCTGTATTGACCACAGTCATATATATGTCAGTAATGAGTCCACGTGGGGGACTTATGGGGAATGGAGAGGAAGAGTTTCTGCATCCAGCTGGGAAAACAGGCTCAGTTTGTGTTGGGAGCACGCTTTGGGATCCTAGCCATGAAACCTGTAGAAATACATAGCCGTGAATCCTACTATTTATATGCAGGATCCCAAATCCCAGCCTGTTGTACTCCCAGCACTTGGGAGCAGGCTAGCACAGTGGTCCTGACCTCAGCTGGGACTCCTCTGGCATCAGACCCAGCAGCTGAACTGCAGCTTCAGTAGCAGCTCTACAAGATGGGGAGTTGTAGCATCAGAACTGTTGCACCTTGCTGTGCCTCATCTAAATCGGGCCTTAGAAACTTTTTTTTCTTTTTTAATTTGGGTCACATTACCCAATCCCATTGTTACCCATTGCTCACTCTTAGCCCTTCTTTCCTTTCTTCCCTCCCTACAAAAAGGTACCTATGTTGAATGCAGAAGCCCCATAAAAACGAGTGCTCATTTCAGTTCTGCTTTTCACCACTCAGCGAGCGCTGACATTCTGTGCTTGGGTGCATGTTGTTTGGACACAGCAGTCAGCACTAAGAGGCTCATCCATTTGGCATATTATGAACGTTACAAGCTGCCACGATACTCCATCATCATGGTGCAGGGGCAGTTTGTTACACATTATTGCATAAGGCACCACTGGATTTACAGCACCCACAAAAGAAAGGCCTCTCATTCCAAACACCAAATAAATATCCAACTCAAGCAATAGTCACTATTCAAAGATCAGCTCCTTGGCAACAGATGCAATTCCATGCACATCTCTAACAGCTATATTACCTTTGCAAAGCACTGTGGTGATTTTAAGCTAACCTATCATGAGGTATCACTGTGCTCATTTCTGTTGTCAGAGTGAACGTGGAATGAAACTTGTACCAAGAGGGCTTTGCTACCAGGAGAGAATGTGTTGGACAACTTCTGTGAACTACACTGCAATTGAAAATGCTCACCTTTTTAGGCCTGCACGGTGCCATTCAGAGCTTGGCTCAGCTCTGTTCCTCCCTGCTGCATATTCTGAAAGGCAGCTCCAGAACTACAGCTGCAGAAAATGCCTGCATGGGAAAAATCCCTGATGTCTGCTGAGCGTATGCCACAGGGTGAACAAAGCTGCTCCCTAAGCAAGTGATCTGCAAGACCAGAACCTTGAGAATTTTTCTGCTTAGAACACATGGGGTGCCTTTAAGATTCACAGAATGGCCAAGGTTGGAAGAGACCTCAAGGATCATGAAGCTCCAATCCCCTGCCACATGCAGGGTCACCAACCTCCCCATTTAATACCAGACCAGGCTGCCAAGGGCCCCATCCAACCTGGCCTTGAACACCTCCAGGGATGGGGCATCCACAGCCTCTCTGGGCAGCTGTTCCAGTACTCTCACAGTAAAGAACTTCCCCCGATGACCAACCTAAATCTTCCCTCCCTCAACTTAAAACCATTTCCCATTGTCCTTGTCAACCTTGTCCATTGTCCCCTTGTCAATATTTCTCCTGTCTTTTTCTAACCATCCATCTGCTACAGCTAAGCTAAGACTTCCCCATGTAGAAGTTAGAACTTCAAGTGCTTAAAATGGGGTAAGAAGCATTAGAGGGTAATTATGGATGTTGCCTGATGAGAGGGAAAACAGAAAAAAAATAATTCAGGGTGTTTGTAGTTCAGCCAGGGGAAATAACCTTCTCTGAAGACATCCCTACAGTTTTATCAAGGACCTTTTAACTCCAGCAGAGGGAAGAAAGGGTACTTGCTGGGAGTAGGAGAGATTCTCCAGTCCCCCTTACAGCACATCCATAGTAGCCAGTGCATTTGTACTTCACTAAGGTAAAAGCTAGCTCTTTAAACATACGTATATATCAATGTGAGTGCATGTAGCAATGATTGTTATTTCTTCTGAAAGTGAAATGAACTCCTTTAATGTATCAGTTACACGTCAGCTGATCAGTCTGCGGGGTCACAACCATTGTAAAAGATAACTGAAAAGATTCTGTACACAACATAGTAATACTCAGTCTCCTTCCCCAGTAACCAAGAGAAGATCTGTAGTTAGCACCAAAAAAGAAAAAAAAAAAAAAAAAAATTAATTCAATTTTAGAGTAAGAAATTGAATAGCCCTGCTTTTCTTTGGAAACAATTAAAAAATAAAAAAAAAACCTCAAATTTGTGATTGTTTGCTAAGTGTTTAGATTTCTGTGTGTGAAGTCATTTGATCAGCATTCCCTTGCAGTGACAGCCCAAGATGTCAATAGATTACTGAAATTTCCTTTAGCTTACGGAAACCTTTTTTTCCTACTTTCATGGTTGAAAGCACAGTATGATAACCTTCCAGGAGTAATGGACTTGAGTGCCTGTGCAAGAAGAGGCTGCTGAATTATAAAGCTCTTTGCAGATATGCTGGTTTGGTTGGGATCAAGTTAATTTTCTTCACAGTAGTTCACATGGTGCTGTGTTTTTGGATTTGCAATGACAACGTGCGCGTAACACATCGACCTTTTAGCTGTGGAGGAGTGCTCACACAGGGTCAAGGACTTTGTTTCTCTCTCTGACCAGCCACCAGCAGGGAGGCTTGAGGTGTACAAGGAACTGGGAGGCATCACAGTCAGGACAGCTGAGCCCAACTGACCAAAGGAATATCTCGTACCAACACAGCATCATGCTCAGCAGTGAAACTGCAGGGATTTGGCTGGTATTTCACAGCGCTTGCTTTTGTTTTGTACATTCCTGTTGTGTTTGGCTTTTTTTGTTTGGATTTTTTTTTTATTGTTGTAGTTCCTTTGCTTTGTTGCTGTTTGTTGCCTCTTCCATAATGAAGTGCCTTTACCTCAGCTCACAAGTTTTCTAACTTCCCTTCCAGCTCTCTTCCCCCCATCCTCTGGAGAGAAGCAAGTAAGCACTGTATGGTACTCTGCTGCCTACTGGGGTTAAACCACAACTGCAGGACAGCTGACATTCTAGATTAACTTGTGTTCCCACTAACAATCTGAAACTTTGCTACAGTCAACCTTATTTGAACTGATGTGCCTTTTAACATGCCACGAAGAAAGCAAAGCACTATTAGCCTCAGATTTCTACTGACTTAATTCAGTAGAGTACACACATATTTGTTTTAACTCATGCTTATGTTTGTTTGCTTAATCCTATCATTCAGTACTTGCTGCATCTTGGTAAGACTCGTATCTACATCCCCACTCTCCTCTTCCAATTTCCTTTCCACGCACTATTTTTAATTAGCAGGTAATTTGTTTACAATATATGAGGACCCCCATGGGCTCTCCCAACCTTACTCATTTTCCTGGTTGTGCAAATACATTTTTTTTAGTCCCAGGCAAGTTGTATCAGTGTTGGTAAATTTAACTTGTCCTGGCATTTCTTCTGAATAAGCAGAAGAAACTCAAAAGGAATCTACTTATTCACACCATCTTTCTACCACCACTAGGTATCTCGGAGAGAGCTCTAAAACACAGATGGACAAAGAATTTTTTGT